GGCGACCTGTCATGAAGACCATGATTCCTAGCTCACAGACAGGGGAAGAGGGACAAATAACCTTCTGAATCTCCCTATTTCTATCTCCACACCCACCCACCTCAATGCTATGCCTTTTCCAGTCACACACACACATACACGTCTCCCTTCAACCTCTCTTAAGCAGACCATAAAGTGCCACACAGAAGGGATACAGTGGACACAGTCATAGAAGAGACAAGTGCCGGTCTGAGCCTTCACTTTCCCGCTCCAGAGGCAGTGAATCAAACTAATGGGTTAAAGACATGAAGACGGATGAGCTCGGCGGATTAGGAGCTGAGCTGATGTTTCCCAAACGCGTTCTCCTGCATCCGTGATTCTTAAAAATCTTAACGTTCGCAGTGGAAAAATATGGAATTTAATATTTAAGTGTTGGAAAATGGCAAGGATTAAAAAAAATGGAACACCCTCCCCCCGAGCAGAGACCAGCGAACGTCGCTTCTGAACCTGCTCCACATCCAAATCTCCAAATTCAAAAGAATAAAACAGAATTATTATATCATGCATGTCCTGATTCATAAGAAAAAAAACTAATAAAAACTCCATGCAGACCTACAACAAGGATTGCTCTGATAATAATTACAACTTGTCCGTGATATTTTGAATTATCAACTGAAGTAACTTTCAGATTTTTTCCAAATTCAGTTCATTTGCTTCTATAAAGAACAAATGAAGCCACCTTGATATAACAGTTCCTTTCCAGTTTCTGTTAAAAAGTTGATTTTCACTGGGCAGACTTGATCTCAGAAGTCGCCGGGCTCTGAAGGATGACGGTCTCCGAGAACTTTGAAAGACCCACAGTGCTCCCTGCTGGTGGAAGGCTGAGCCGCAGCTCGGCTCCCAGAGTTCAGCGTGTGCGGGCTGCATGACTCCAAACCTTTGACAACACGGGAGTCTCCCTCATCAGGCTCCCGGCCACTAGAAAAAGAACCCTGGCAAAACCAGCTTCCTCCGTGATTTTTTGTCTGAATCATGGATGAGAGACGCAGGAAAGAGAGAATGAGACACAGAGAGATGGAGAGAAACCTGCATGGCCAGTGGGCAACTTCAATAAAAGACAATCTGACTTTTCAGATGCTATAATAATCAAGATCCTCCCACCGTGGTTGTTTGTCTGAGGGGGACATGGATGGCTATGGAAGAAGAGATTCAAAGCAGTAATTAATACTCCTAAGTGACTGCTGCTGGATGAGAGGCAGGGACACGGACTGTGAGCTGGTACTGTGTCTCCTAGCATGTCCTACAGTCCTGTAGGTTGGCATCTTAGCAAAAGAGGAGGAAATGGAGAAAGTGCCTTTATTACTAGTTCATGTGTCTTCAGGGGGGCCTCTCCGGATCAGAGTCCCTCCATCTGCACACTCACGCACACACACACACACACACACACTCGTGTGCATGCCATCCAATGCTAATCTCGTGTCACAAACATTAAAGAAAGACATGAAATGCCACAAAAATGTCAGCACCCCACCCCCATCGCTGCTTCTTCCAGCCCTTCCCTCCCTCTGGTAAACATACTGAAACATACACTCATTTGCATGTGTGTTTGTGTCGGTGAGTGATGGAGTGAGGGACCCGCTTGTTGTTTCATAGCCGTTGGGTGCCCGCTTCTTGCATGGAGCAGCAGGGTGGTTTCCTATAATCCCATCACTGTTGTCGTCACGAAGGCCCACAGGGCCCCACGCCCGGGGGGGGGGGGGGGGGTGACATTTCTGGCATCCTCCAGCTCTCGTTCTACTCCCAGAGCCAGCAGGTCCAGAGCCAAAAGACACAGTACAGTTAGTCATGTACTGCTCGGACTGAAAGTGACTTACTGTATCGGAGGGTCAGGCTAGGAAATGAGGAGGAAATATATCTTGGAGGTGACTTTCAGAGTTATGGATTGAGTGTCAAAGCTAGGTTTTGAAAAGAGGACCTGAGATGTGAATTGAACATGAAAGACGGGGGCAAGTATCCGGCGCGTCCTTAATTCAAGCAAAACTGCTCCACTTAAAACTTAAAAAATAAACATCCCAGCTTGCCAACGTACGGGCCAACATCCTCGCGACAAAAAATGTTTCCATGTCATTTTCCTTCAGCCATACATCGGATTCTTCGAACATGCTGAAATCAAAGAAACGGCCTGACTGAAGCAGAAGGTGCAGAGGATCTGACCCCCCCCCCCCCTTCCTGCATTTGTCTGTCTTCATCTCTCAGCTCTCGGCTCTCGGCCTTCTCCCGGACTGTCACGCAGCCGCCTGGCGCCTGTCCCCACGTTCACTCCGCGGCGGGGATCCGACCTAGCACCAAATATGCAATTTCACCGATCCGTGCTGACAGCGTGCATGTCGACCGCTCACAACCGATCCCACTCCGCCCTCCTGTGAGCGTCCCCGCGTGGTCGGAAACACGGTACGTGGGCAAAGAGCTCTCACAGGTCATAAAAGGTAAGAGAGGAGACAGGCGACGCTCGGGGCCCGGTTCCCCGGCCAGACGAATAAGTGCAACGGCATATTGTAAGTTACCAAGTAGGCATCGGGGGGATATATATCTCCCAAGACTGAGGCTGCGTTTATGGCAATGCCTATCTTGCGAAGCCCCACGGGGCTATCGGTGACCCCTACAGAAGAATTCCTTGTTAATTTGACCCAAGTTCTGTATCACGATCGGCATGAGAAAACTCCCACAGGCTACAGTTAGTCCGCGGCACTAGGGATCGTTGTCCTCAGCCCGCCTGAGTCCAGACAGGATGTGGCAGCTCGGAGGCATTCAGTTAAAAGAGACGCACTTTAATGCTGCAGGCATGCATTTATGGGAGCCCTACTAGGATAAAAGTGTATGACGTGCTGGAACCTATAAACAAAACAGCGAAAATGGAAGGTTAGATGATTAAAAAAAAAAAAAAAAAAGCAAAGAATTAGTCTTACCTTGTTCTATGGCATCTAATCATTTGTGATAGTCTGTGTACTCATTCTTATAATTAATTTGTTTCCCGGGACAGCTTTTTCTCAACAAATTGGGTTTAAAAATATCATCTGCTCCTTTATATTAAGTGGTTGCAGTGCAAAGAAGCATTGTGGAATTCAATAAACATCAACGAAAGTAGCTCACATGAGCAGCATCCGCTGCTGTATGTGAATCAAAAGGCCTTTTAACACTCAACATTAAAGTAATATGCTGGCCTTTAGAAGGACAAGGGTGTTAGTTTTCTTGTCTTTATCATTCGTCTATTTTTTGCTAGGTTTTGGTTGATTGGCAGAATTAAATAGCCAGAGATTTGGCCAATATGACAAGAGATAGAAAAACTATTCAAAATAATTGCAAACTTTTTGTAAAATGTCTACGAATTCAAATTATATGTACCTATTTCATGTGCGAAGGGAGCCAATTCAAACCAAAATATGTACAAGAGATTGCAAGGCAAGTGAACCAGACAGTGTCTGGAGAATATGTGACAGAACTGCTGAATCTACATAGATAACAGATCCTTTGCTATCCGCTAAAACCTTAAGCTAAATGTGTTTGAAACAAAATATTTTTTTTCAATTTAATTAACATATTCTCCTTCGGTAGAAAGGATATCTAACAGTTTTTTATGTGAGCAACAAAGACATTGTAAACCCATGTGTCTGTATGCATGTATCAAAAAAGCACTAAAATTAAAGTTCTGCACATACATTTCAATATGGACTCTTATGAAAATTACTTTATCTCAGAAACTATGCAATGGACATTTAAATCAAGATAGTTTTGGGGTGGCAATGATCTTTGTAATAACATGGTTGTACTGGTATTTTAAATGTGTTACTAAGTTGAAAACTGTCTGAGTAAGTTAACTAAAGATGATCATATGTGGTGGGACTGAGCTTACTAGGCTATTCCACCTTGCAAGGTGGTGATAAAGTAAAATAATACAATATATTTGAAGTAGTCGGTATTGTTTTTTAATTAGCTTATCAACGGGGAAAAAACCTTTTCCCCCTTATAAACATGTTTGCTCTTTCCACATGAAACTTATCTTTTATTCTATTCTAAAATTAATAACTATGAAAATAAAATTCATTGAAAAATGTTTTCTCTATGTTAGATTCAGGCATAACTTAAATGTACTACTACACAAAGAAAAGCTTACAGCTGCTCACCAGAATTGAGAAAGAGTCTGGCTGTCGCTTTCTATGATGTCATAAATACACACATGCGAGCGCACACCCACACATTCACCTGGACAGTCCATAGTTAGTACACTGGGACATGAATGACAGGTGACATTTCATTATGGGGAGATCACAGAAGCGCAGTCCATATTCAAACAGACATGACACACACGATGTCACAGCCAGGACACATGGCCGAGGCAGACGGGCTGGCAAGGGAGCAAATATTTTGCTGCAGGACTTTCGACTGAAACTTCAGACCTGGCACTGTTGTTCAGACTCCACTTGACCACAAAGTCTTCCAGGAAATATTTCTTTGATGACATATGACAATTGTCTGTCAGAGCAAAGTTATCAATTTTATAAATTCAGTTCTAACTGTTGGAGGGTTTACATTATAAATCCGGGTATATTCAAAGAGTAGTGCGGAGTGCCAAATTCAAAAAAACATTTATTTGAAAATAAAAAAGAATGAAATAATACAAGCGATGGGGCACATATGTTTGTGCCTTTAACCGGTTTTCTTGTGAGATGTACAGTCATGCTTATCTTCATCTTTTTGTGTGCTAAAACTTATAAAGAACTTATAGTGACGCTTGTTCATTTTGCTGTCACTTTCCTAAAAAAATCGTTTACTCTTAGCAGATTATTTGATTCTCAACAACATATATTTGAATACAAATTAAGGACTTGAATAATGGACTTAAATTCAAGGTTTCAAAAGCATCCATTTAATTGGTAATAGTAATTTCAAGTATGGCAACTTCAAGCATAGCAGTATTTACTTTAGTAAAGAAAACCATGTAACGTTTACTGATGCAACATGACGAAAGTGACTCAAATGCAGCACGAGTTGATCTTTATCATTGGCTACATCCAGATTCAATCAACCTGTGGTGGGCGGGCATTAAGACTTTCATCCAATCCGATCATTGCCTGGCTGCGCTGCCCCCTCGACAGTCAGAAACATGGCGTTGCGGGAGCTATCATCGCTGGAGAAATACTTAGGCCTGAAAAAGCCGAATAAGTACAGTACACAAGGCGATAAAAAGGTAATAATGACGGTCCTCTGTTGCACCGTACGCAAATGGCGGCAAATGGCTATTTATTCAAAATAACGCCTTTAAACAGTTGTAAATATCGCGTGGTGGCTAGCGGTAAAATGCTAACTAGCATAACCAGGCATGTGGATTGAATAGAGGGCTGGTTTCGCCATACATCTTCCTCATGTTATCAGTGGACGGTCAATTAAGATTTTCTGATACGCCGGTATATATTTTAATGCGATAGTTATTGCAATACCTCATATTTCTACAAATGAGCCTCACCGTTAAAGCGTTGTCTATAGTCGTTTCACACAATATAAGCGAGGGGTGGAGTCAGCTGCCTGCCATTGGCTGACCGAGCGGGTTTAAAAAGCCGTAAAGGGGGTGTGCGCTTCAGGCATTGGAGACTAAACAGACCTATTTTAGATTGTAAGGATGTAGTTTTAAGGGATGCTGTGCTGACAGTTGGACAAGATAAACAGTGAGGTAATAGAATGTAGCAGACCTCTCGCATTCTCTCATTTGGTTTGCTTTATTTTAACTTGCTTTTCAGGACCCCCCTACACCCAAACAGATGTTCTTGTGACTTTATAAAGTTTTCTTGAAGGCCCTTTAAGTGAATAGTCAAATGTGTATTTTTTGTGGCCTACCCTCATATGCGGCACCTCTTCCCGTAGGTCCCTGTCCTACAGAATAACAATGGCCCCCCGTTGGTGGGGTTGGTGACCATCGCCTGCCACCTGGTGAAAGAAGCAAAGCGACCCGAGCTGCTGGGTGACACGGCAGAGAACAGGGCAGTGGTCCAGCAGTGGCTCGAGTTTAGAGTGACCAAGCTTGACGGTTGCACAAAGGAAGATATCAAGACCATCCTGAAGGTACACAACCTGATATTCAGGGAAATCTCCTTTTCTCTCCCTCTCACATCAGCCTGTAATCCAATGCAGATGCACATGCCTCTGTTTGATGCCGATGACTCAAAAGCCATTTTAAAAAAGTCACTTTTTGCTACCAAAAATAAATAACAAAGAACGTATCATCTCCGTTTTCCTTTGTTTTTATCTGCCAGTTAGACATCTGTGTCTGTGTTTGCCTTGTTAATGCACAAGCAACAGGAATAAAGACTGATGTATGGCCCTTCAGTGACATGGCCCCACACGACAGAGGAAACCGCTTTAATGTGGCCGACGCCAGTCAGCGTGAAACAGATCGTCAGCCACTGGTCTGCTGGACGCTAGGCGCCTCTTGGCACCGTCCTGTCAGCGTGAAGTGTCTGTGTGGGGGGGGGCGTGTGTGTGTGTGTGTGTGTGTGCGCGCACTTCCCAGCATGATGCGCTCTTGTGGCATGGCTGAGGAGTCAAGCTGTGTTGCAGCATGTTATCTGGACAGGCCTCTTAAATATTTTAATGGTGCCACTTACAAAAGGAAGTGGCCCTGAGCGGCTCAGCTCTGGTGCCCAGTGGCCCCCTGTCCTGTCCTGCTGCTTCAGCTGCATCTTTAACACTGTTCTTTCAAGCACACCAGTCATCTCCCATTAACTCATTGACTGCCAGCCATTTTCAGAACAGAGAGTCGCTCACTGCCAGAGTTTTTTGAGAATTTTGACAGATTTTTCAAGAGCCACAGAATAGTTTGTGCTTTGACTATGTAAACACCAAACACACCAAAAGAAAGAGGAGACTCTCTTCTATCATCAGGAAAAAAAAATGTGTTTCTACCTTATTCCGTTCTTCTTCGACGTGCGTCTCACCGGCGCCATTTCTCTCATAGCGAACCATTGCGTTTGTTTTTATTTGCTTACAATCTATGCTAATCTCCCATCAAAAGTGGCACAGCTACCTAGAGGGTAAATTTGTTAGTCCATACTCTGTCTAGAAGCCGATATTTACGGAAAAACTTTCGCCGATCGTCCCCCAAGTCACTCGCAATTGAAAAACATAAAAGACGTCTATAGACGTCTTTGGCAGCGAACGGTCGGATTTGAAAAGACGTCTATAGACGTCTTTGGCAGCGAATGAGTTAAAATATCCCCACATATAAAAAAAAATACAAGGGGGAAAAAAAGATGTTTTAACAGCACAAGTTATGAAACTTATCGAGGCCCTGCACGCGGATAAGATGTTAAACTATTCTAAGCTGAGACTTTTGGCTAAAGTGATCTTCTTGTCAATCTTTTCACATAACGACAAACATGGCCCAGGCTTCCTGTCCTTGAAGGTCAAGTTAAATAAACTCAAGAGCGATGGTGTTAGTGGAGTTTAATCAGAGTGTCTTCGTAGGGTCGTGTTTTGTGATGCTAAGCTTGGAAAATCACAGAGTAGACAGACAAAGATGAAATGATTTGCCCAGTTTTCTTTTCTATGAATTAATCTTGTGTCTAACGTGAGCTTATTAAAGAGTCAGAATTCTGCCACAGAGTTTCCCGGCATTACTCTGTCTGAATGCGCCAGTTAAGTAACGCATAGGTGAGGCAGCGGCAGGTAGAGGAGAGCCCAGGGTTGAGCTCCGTGTGTCGGCTGGGAAAAGGGGTGGGGGCAGCAGGAGGGCTTCCTCTCCTCTAATGCACGACTGGGCTTCAGCTCCGTGGCTGTAGGCTAAGAGGAGCAGGATCTGATTCTTGAAGGGGAGGAAGTCTGCAGTCTTCATGCCTTGTTTGGCATCGCCCACTATTGCCGCACAATAACTTCATTTGCCCCGAAGATGCTTCTGAGTGTGTGTGTGTGTGTGCGTGTTTAGTTTTCCCCATTGCACAATGTACAAGTGCTAAAGATGGTCCCCTCTCCTGGGACCAGCACTTCCAATGCGCACATGACTGAAAAAATACCACAAAGAAAATAAATAAATAAATAAAGCTGCCCAAGTTTCAGGCGGCTTCATTAGATGTTGTCATTTTTTCCGTGGAGTAAACAAATCCCCGTTTCGTACGGCATCTGTGCTAAGCCAGCAGTCACGAGGGGAGAAGACATAGCCCCTGAGGTCACATCTAGTTCCTATCCACATTACACACATGCAGACAGGCCAGACTCTGGAAGTATCTATTTACAATATATGGAGTTTAATGAACCTGCTATGGCCTCCCCTTTTAGAATTATGGTATTGATTTTTTTTATTATCTTTTTTTTTAATGTTAGAGTTTTTTTTTTATTTTTAACGTGACAGACAGGAGAGCAAAATAGGGTCTTTGCAAATCAGAATATTTAAAGTAAATGCAGTTTTGATTTGGCAAAAGGAAATTGTCGTCCTCGCTTAAAGGAAGCTTCATCAGTTATTCACGTCACGTGTTCATCTGTCATGTGAAGAGAAGTGTGTTTACGCCCAAATCTTTACCATTACGCATATTTTAGCATGTGTATTAGCCTCATTTGCATACTGAGATGTGTCTGGACTTTTTCTTCTTTCAGGACCTCAACGTCTACCTGCAGGATAAGGTCTACCTGGCAGGAAACAAGTTCACCTTAGCCGATAGCCTTGTGTACTTTGGAATTCATCCACTCCTAGTAAGTGGCCTTTTGTCTTTCTCACTGGACCTGTTATTTGTCCGATGTCATTCATGTAGATCAGTACATCAATCCATTTTGTTTATTTTTGTTTGGGGTTTTTTTTGGATTCTTGGTATTGGTCCTTTTTTTTTTTTTTTGCCCCCACAGGATTCATGGGTGCTGATCAGGGGTAAATTTGACTGATTGGCCGATTCTCGCTGCATTCTTCCTGCCACCAACGAAGGGCCATCCCTTTCCCGTCCCATCAGCTCTCACTTTTGTCAAACCACAACTCTAATTAAGAATTTGTCATAGCATATAACACACAATTAGACCAGTCATACGGCCAAAGGGCATGAGAGGCAAGCTGGCAATGAACACACGGATTATAAACACATTTTCAGTTCTCCTCAAACAGATAAAAGTGATGTGGCATAAAGTGATGTCTGTAGCCTCAGACCAGGGACAAGTAAGTTTGTTCCGCCTTACAGGATAAAAGAAAAGTGTGTTCCGAAATGGGAAAGGCAGAAAGAGATGGAGGGAGGGAGGGATCACATGTTGAGAGATGTCAGCGGTTGTGGCGGAGATGGAAGCTCGCCCCCCGCCACCAGGCAGAGGAGCGTCACTTTGGTTTGCAATCAGTGTGGATTTTAACCCCCGGGACAAGCGGGTCAGCTCGCCCGACCCCTGGCCACAGCCGGAGCCGATGTTCAATTCATGAGAAAACAACTTTACACAAACATTAAACCTGACTGTCGCCGGGATAGTTTTAGGCCGGCTCGCCGCGCATAATTTACATATTTTACTTAACGAGATAATGAAGAACCAAAGGCCCGATGACGGCCCCCGTTCGCAAGGACGTGTTGGTGAGCTCTGCCACCTGCGTCGTGCTGCAGGGGTGAATTAAGCAAACCTCACCCAGGGTTTGTTTTTGGGGGGGGTTTTTGGTTGTTTCTTTTTACATTTTCAGGGTATTTTCGATCAGATTCTGTCAGAAATTAGTCATTGGTTATAACAGATTAGGGGTTCAGTTTGGACATTAAATAACAATTCATTTTTCTTTTTGATCTGACTTTTTTTTTTATGCAGCACGAGGTGACAATATCCCAAATTTGTCTGGAAATACATCAACAAGATATACATCAATTTCTTTATTTTTTTTAAAGTATTAGTACTAACAGCCGGTCATCTTTTCAGGACCTTTTTTCATTCACCTGAAGATTTTAGTCAGTAGACTTACTGGCAGGTGGTTCTTAAATGTCATTCTCTCTTTACTTTTTTTTGTTTTTGTCTCCCCTCTCTCTCTCAGGTTGACCTGGCCGTCCAGGAAAAGGAGCAGTATCTAAACGTGGCGCGATGGTTCGACCACATCCAGCACCGTCCCGGTGTCCGACACCACCTCCCTCCATTAGTTGTGCTCAGGAACAGAATTTACACCGGCAGGCACCACTGAGCCCGGAAAACGCCACCCTCCCTCCCTCCCTCCGCCCGCCATGACGCGCCGCAAATCTTCAGTCCATCAGAGCAGAAATGTTCTCCTTTTCCCATACAGCGACCTGCTCCTTTTGTTACGTCTGTTTTCAGACAGCCATCTCTGCTCCGATGGTCAGAAGGAAAAAAGCAGCTCAGCTCATAATGTTAAAATAAAGTCAGTGTTTTTACTTATTGCAGTGTCTTTTGGAAGACGGAGCTCACCTTAACCTGTCAATCATTCAGCCAAGCTAACACTTTTTACAAGAGCTTTGGTGTCTTAATTGTTTTTCTTGCATAAGGGAGAAGTTTTTTGGTGTTTGTTTTTTTAATTAGAATTGGCAGGCTGTTTACAAAGCGAAGTCTTGGATGGGCTGCGGTGTAGTGCTGCTATCATAGTTAATAATTGTCTCTTTTTAATAATAATGATTGTTTAATCTGAGCCTGGAACATGTAATGACAAGTATTACAGGTTAAAAGAGGATTTAGCTAGTCGTGTGTTATCTTCTAGGGGTTTGTTTTATGTAACATGCTTCCATAGTGCAATTTTTCTTCTCTTTGTCCCGGTGCATCGTACCTCCATGTGTCATCCTATCTTGATTTTTCTGGCTCTGCTTTGTTGTCATTATTTTTTCTTTGAATGCGACGTATTCGCACGCTGCCCGGTTTCCTCTCATTTCGCTCGCTGCGATTACGTCCCGACTCTCGGTTCCACTTTCCCCTCGCCACCAGTTGTGTGGGCAGCAGCGAGCAGTCGAACGTCAGCCTCAGAGTCAGAGATCAGAGTGAGGCTCCAATCAGTCCCACTACCACCACTGTTGATGCTTCAGGCCACGGAGAGGGCAGCGGGCTCACCAGCTGCCACACAGATCCAGCCAGCCAAGGCCAGAACCCGGGCCCCCGGGCGACAGCCAGCCACTGTGTGTCATTTCAACCCTCACGCTCCCACGGGGGCTGCTGGAGAGAGAAGGACGAAGGGAGGCAGCCAGCCAGCCAGCCGGCGAGGAGGAGGAACGGGAAAGGGACGGAAGGGGCCGCACAGCCAAAGAGCACCCAGAGGCTGCGGGATCTTTTTGTGGCATGCGAACAATGATCCATGCCTCCCAAAGCGTGACCGCTGCTGGCTGGATGTTTGCTATTAGCGCCATTAACGGGCCAGATCACGGCGGCTGAACATCTTCGAGGTAAATCGGCACAGACGCGCAGAAGCGAAAACGCGCTGTGAAAAAGGAAACCCGACGACGGCTTTCCGCACGTTCCGCTCGCCTTTCCGGGCTCAGACCCTTCCCGCGCATTTCCCGCATTTCCCTGTACACATGCTCCACGTATCACGTGTTTTCTGGTCTGATTTAAACACCCGATGTTCGTCCTGTGCCAATAAATCCAAGCGATGCAGAGCCCCTGACCCCTGACCTCCCGGCTGATTATTCATTGTGTGTACTTTTGGTATTCTCTGTTTTTTTGTGTGTTTTTTTCGCAAAACCAGCCAGAAGACAGGGCTATTGTTCGGCGAGGTTCTGTGTGATGTCTCGCCGCGTGTTTGTTGCAAGTGTTACAAAGTAGATGCGAAGGATAAAAACAGCTCGCAGTCATTTGAGCGAGCCTTGTGACTCGCCGGGGCAGCTTATGCGGTGGTCTGCCATTAAAGAAGGCCTTGTCCTCCCGGTTATGTTGACGCTACTGGAATTCTGTTTATCAGACAGTTTCTCTTCGTTCCGAGGTGTAAATAATCAAGTTCTCCATCCAAGCTGCGATCCGATGAACGCTTTTTTAATTCATTTTTGTTTTCAGTGATGAGTTCACGGCTGAGATTGTGGAGACTAACTTTTTGGGAAAATGGTCACCCACAAAGAAATCTGTGTTCCTCATCTGTTGAAATAACAAATAATACAGGAATGCCATACAATGTAAAACAGGTCAAAAATCTATTAATTGCCTACTTTTTGTCTTTTTGCTGGTAAACTTGCTCATCCAAGTAAATTATTTTTCTTTCATTCATGCTGAGATTTTCTAATAGGTGCTTTTCCGTATGCAGTAACAGTAATTAATTTTTGTGTTCAGTGATGAGTTCACGGATGAGATTGTGGAGACTAACTTTTTGGGAAAATGGTCACCCACAAAGAAATCTGTGTTCCTCATCTGTTGAAATAACAGATAATACAGGAATGCCATAGAATGTAAAACAGTAAAAAATCTATTAATTCCCTACTTTTTGTCTTTTTGCTGGTAAACTTGGTCATCCAAGTAAATTTTTTTTCTTTCATTCATGCTGAGATTTTCTAATAGGTGCTTTTCCGTATGCAGTAATAGTAAGTGAAAACCCTTTTCTTTTTAAAGCTGATGCCGGTGTCACTGTCTTGAGCGGTTTCACACAGTCAGGTTCCCCTCTGATCCAACCTGAGCGCACTTCGAGCGAGACAAAGTCATAAGGCCGCAGCGGGACACCAGGACGGTGGTATCAATTAGGAAAGACCTTGGCTACGACATCTGAGGGTCCAGGGGAGCGTGGCTCTGCTGGGGTCGGCCCTCTGTGGAGCCACGGGAGTCCCACCCACTACGCCAACGGGGCCCCGGCCAAGCCAGAAACCAAATGAAGGGCAATTTAGCCAGCTGCACGGCGAGGGGGGGGCCAGGGGTCGGTAGGCCGGGTCACCGTCAGCCTGAGCTGAGCACGGAGATGGATAATTTCTAATGCCTGAAGGGACTAAAGGTGGGAGGATATTTTAAACTTCTAAACCGTCTCCATGAACATTGGGATGCTGTTTATAAATCAATTCAAATCACAGCGAAGTTATCCTTAAAAAAACTAAATTTCCAAAGATATGAAATGCTGAAATAGAGATTTTTTGATAATGTATTTATGCATCTTAATACCATAAAAAGTGTCATTAAAATATATATTCAAAAAATGTTGCAAGCCAAAAAAATAATTGGCTGGTTTAACTGTCAAATAATAGTTGTTGGGCTGTGATAAGCACTGTAAGAAGTAATCTTTCATTAGCTGAGTGGAAAACAGTTACTGAAGTCTCAAAGTGCGACACACAATCCCACTTAAAAACAAAACGCTTTAAAGAAATACTGCAAAGAATCGTAGGGAGTTCAACATCTTATCCCCACATTATCATTTGAAGATTAAACCCAGAGTAATCCCCGTATGCAGGAGACGAGTGTTGAAAAAAACCAGTGCTGAATAGCAAATTATCTTTAGGCCCTCAGGTGGCTCTGCATTATAAATCCACACGATTCTGTGGTGGAAATCACTTCGTGGGCTCAAAAATCTCTGTAAAAGCCATTGTTGGTAGGGGCGCAGTCTGTCGACACTTCCAACAATGCTAGTCGCTGCCAAAGAAAAAGCGAAATACTCAGAAGCGGCTTTACCTTAGTTTGGCCTGAACTCTTTAAAATGCATCGTGTAAAAGTGGAAACCCACGCGGGGTCCTTATCTCGAACGGTGTTGGGGAAATTGTGGACACCTAGTCCTCCAGGCCAGAGGAAAGGTCCGTCCAGTTTTCTATCAGCACGCGTTTTAAAAATTCACCATCTGTGATGGGAGGGAGTGGGGAGACAGATATGAGTAACTCACACATTTGCCAAACAGGTGAATCGTGGGACTGGATTCAAATGAACTCCCCGCTTTTACTGAGATCATTATCCCGACTTGAGATCGGAGTCTGTGGCGAACAGCGAGCCGAAAAAAAAACGCTGCTGGTTCTTCCTGGTGTCGTTTAGGTTTTACCTCCTCATCATCTCCCAACACCTTTGTCAGGATAAGTTTACTAAACACGTAAGATGGGACGACCACCCCCACCCCCCCACCCCACCCCCCCGCTTCCTCCAACCTACGCCGCAACAAACAGTCACTCCGTTGCCACCATCCTTCATTAATTCTTATTAACAGCGTCAGGCTGAGGCGGAGGCATCGGCCCGGACATCTGCTGAGAACCGAGCCGACTGATTCAGTGGAACAATCAACACCGCGTCGGCGGTGAGGGGGGGGGGGAGCGTTAGCGCGTCGTAAGCGCTTTTGACAGGACTTATCGACCACGCTTTATCGCGCCCTTACGCGTTGTGACAGTTGTACCATGCGCCCATAAAGATGGCATCTGATTGTCTATTGCAATTATACGAGTGTATGGGCAAGGGTGCAGCCATGAAGGGCGCGGAGGACAGGAAGGGGGGCATGTGTTTTTCACAGCACGCTCTTCGACAAACTTATTTCTGTAGACGCGAAGGAGAGAAATGTGTCCTTGGAGGATGCACATTGCGGTTTCGCGCACAAAAAGGAAGAAAAAACACCATATTTATAGATCTGTTTTCTGTTGCTTTAAACTCTGGCAAACTAGACTAGATTGTTACTATTCGGAAGAGAATATTTTCTTTTAAAACCCAGCTCTGAATGGTCGGGTTTGTGGTCACACATACATGTATATAGAGGGACTGACTTTAACCTCGTGTGAACCAGGCCTGTTCAAGTGGAAATGTCTCACAGGACACGTGGAAAAGACAACAATGTTCTCTTCATCCCGGGCCTTGGAGATACCGGGAACCTCTTTACTTAATGTTATGGCGACCGACTGCTCTTGGTCGGAGCATGTGATGAGGGCTGGGGCTGATGTTATATATAGTGGCATGGAGGCAGTTCCCTTTTTCATTTCCTCAGTCCGCCTTTTATCCGTAACAGCAGCTCCGGCTGAAACAATGCACAGACTCTACAGACGCTTGTCAGAGGTTAAATGGGCTTACTATATTTATGCATTGAGTGAGTATATTAACTAAAAAATATTAGTAGTCTGCTTGAATAAAGGAAGATGTCAGGACAACTCCACACACCTGGGACGTGGAGAGAAAATAATGCAGAAATAATAAAAAAGGGCAACCCCCCTCATGTCAAACACAAATATGTTTGTTTTTTAAGGGTCACGTAGAAAGCTGGACGGAGAAAAGTATGTAAAAGAGCCAATTCATTTGTTTGTTCAGAGCAAAGGGTCAAATGAAACAGCTGGATGGACA